GCCGGCCCCGGGCCTGTGGGCCACCTGCTCTTCTGGCCACGGGCCTGGGGGGCCCCAGGTTAGACTCGGGACAGCTGGCCAGGCGGGCCCGGGCTGAGATCTCCATGGTGGACTGCCAGCGGCGATGCTTCCTCCTGGCCACCGAGGTGAGCAGTGCTGCCTCAAAGGGGAACAGGGCTTGGGCTGAGGTCCGGTGGCCCTCCTGCGGGGCCACCGCCACGGGGACGAGGACAGGCATGGGGTAGAGGGTAGACTCGGAACAGGAGCGCCCGGGTGCTTCCCAGGCCAGGGCCGGCCTCCGCGGGAGCCCACCCCTCCCTGGGGACCAGTGGGCCGGGTCCCACTCCAGGGATGGCTGGGGGGCTGCATGGGCTCCCTCAGGCCTCTCCAGTAGAAGCGGCGGCTGCCTTGCAAACCTCAGCACCTTGTCTGTGGGCCTTCTCTTGATTTTTTCGGCCTTGCTCTTGGGGGGACCCATTTTCAGACTGGAAGCAAAGGACGGGTGGGCAAAGTGCCCAGAGGCCGGTGAGGGGCTGTTGTCCAGCATCCTGGATGGGGATATGACGTTGCCTCGTCCACAGTCCTGAGCTGGGGGTGTCTGCTGGGCCTTCAAGCTGGGAGAGGGCCACGCCATGGTCTCCCTGAGGACACAGCTGTTCGAGGGCTTGGAGCCCTCCTCTGGAAGGTTGCCAGGGTGCTGGGGACCCTCAAGAGGCATGGATCCCTGCTGCTGGGGGCCCCTGCCGGCACCTCTGCTCTGAGCTGGCCCTCCTTCATCCTCCCTCCCTGGGGCGAAGACCAATAGTCGCCCTCCACCATCTGTACTCCAGCCACCTTGCCTCTGTGGGGATGGGGATGCTGCATGCCTTAGAGGTCCCTGTTCTCCCCCGCTACCCTTTGCTGGGGTCTCCCGGCCCCACAGACGCAGCAGCCTGTCGATATAGGCTCTGGCTCTGGCCGGACCAGCCTCGAGGACCGGCCCAGTCTGGATGGTGTTCAGACCTGCGGGGCCTAGGGAGGTCTCCCTGGGGAACGAGGGACCACCGCTCTGTGGGGTTTCCTTAGCCAGAGCAAACAGGGGGCTCTGCAGAGCCACAGCGTGCAGGGGGCTGGGGTACGGGTACATCTCCCTGCCGCCCTGGGACACCAGGTCTTGCCGATACTTGGGGTCTGGCATGTGCAGCGGGATGTCCACCCCCTGGCAGAGGAGCCCGAGGAGCTCAGCATCGGCGCTGGCTCTCTGGGGCCCCGTGTCTGCCAGCAGGGCTCTGTCAAGATCACCTAGGAACGAGAAAAATGAACAAACACGTGACACGGAGAGGATTTCGTGTGCTGTTGATTTCACTTCATGCATGAAATGCAGCCAGGAAGGAAGCGCTGCTCATTCACTGCTTGGAGGAACTCCTGGGTCCCACGGGAGACGGCGACTCCAGTCACCGGGGTCCGCATCTAGGCACGGCGGGGCCCCATCTGCATCTAGACAGAGGGCACAGGGCCCCGTCTGCGTCTAGACACAGGGTGCGGGGCCCTGTTTGCGCCTGCGGCACAGCCCCCTCAGCTCATTCTCATCCTTCCCCTTGAAGGAGAACGCATAGGGAGTAAGAGTCCTCAGTTCAGCGCCCTCATTTCCCTGAAGGCTTGGAGGCTGAAGAGGCCCCGCAGCGGTGGATGGAGCCCGGAGGGAGGCCAGGGGCATGAAGCTAGTCCCTGCAGATGCCCTGGAGGAAACCACGGGGCTTCTCAGTAAGAAAAGACCAAATGGTTGTTACTAAACCAGGCCTTGTATTAGAAATAAAACAAGGCCAAAAATGACATCTGTGCCTTTGGAGACAGTCTGAAGACAACTACAGCCCCTCCCGGGCCAGGGGGTGGGATCCAGGCATGAGCCCTGTTTTCTCCCCACCAGCGCCTTCAACCCCGCTGTCCCTCCAAACACCAGTGGATCTAGGGTTTTTGAAGGATTGTTTTTAAGCTTGCTGATGTCCATTTTAAATACAGGGAAAAGTGCTGTGTATTAGAAGAGCCAGTGGTGATGCACATGGCCACGTTTGATTCCTGCCTCCATCCAAACCACCACAGGGCCCACGGAGGCCTTCCAGCATCCGTTAGAGCCTGGGGGTGCGCCCATGTGGGGTCCCTGGCTCTGCCCTCAACAGCTGGGGACTGCACTCCGTCATCCCCTGTGCCTGAGATGAGACCCCCCACCTTCCCTGGCGGTTTCTTACCTGTAGACACCGGCCTGGGCCAGAATGTGCCCCACGGCTGGCCTGCATTCTCCATGCTGCCCCGGGGCCTGGTGCCCTCCTCGGTAGCCTGGGGTCTCCACGCTGGCACAGTAGTCTCATCAACCGACCGGGGCCTCCAGTCCCCCATGCTGGGCCTGGCCTTGGGGGCCTGGGCCATAGGCAACAAGCTGCCCAGCGAGGGGGAGATGTGGTCACTGCAGACAGAGGCACAGGACGTGGACAGGGAGCAGGATCCACCGTCGCTCATCTCGTAAAAGCCTGGACACAGCAGACAAGGCAGGTCAGTGACTCCCATCCAGAAGAGCCCAGGGACCCCTTTGCTCCTGAGCTTGTCACGGCACAGGGGGTCCCAGGGGAACCCCTGAGCTGAGGCTACCAGAGGCTGTGGGCCGTCGTCCACACGGCCGGCCTGGGAGAGTGTGGCTCAGGTGAAGATGCTCAGGATTCTTCTCGGGGGCTGTCAGTGAGTTGATGAGAGTCCGCTCCACCCCTACTCGGCAGCACTGGCCCTCCCTTTCCCTGTCAAGTGGTCCCTTTAGTCCTGGGTGGTCGATGCCTGCCTAAGGGGTGGCCTCTTCCTCTGGATTTCAGCCTGTTTAGGACAGGCCCCTGGCCCCTGTCTCTCTCTCTTCCCTGGCGCCTGCCAAGTTGAGAAGAAGACCAGGCTGGGGAGGTGCTTCAGCCCCAGGCCTCCTGAGTCCAACAGTGTCACTTAGACCACAGTGTGATTTTTGCAAATTAAAAA